GCCCCAGGGAGCTGCATTGCTAAAGAGGGAGAGTGAGCAGGCACAGCAGTTTTCCCACATACCACATGTTGAAGATAGATACAATTATGCACATCTTAAGCAGTATCTGAACTTCCCTAAATTTTGACACTTTGTCCATCTTCTTCAGAGTACTTCTTTCGGAGTACTTTACAAGGAGCATTTGTACAGTACAAGTAGGATGACACACATGGATGAGTGCCCAACAGTGTGTAATTTAGAGTTTGCTCTTTTGGCTCATAGCAGAAGGCAGTTTAAAAAAGCTTCTCAAAAGGTAGCCATGAAGGGATCAACTCTGTTACCTGTGTGGAAGCAGACCACAGTGTATACCTTTAATTTGCTAGTAGTGTGGAAAGGGCAGAGGTGGAGAGGCTACAATTCAGACTAGCACTGAACTGAGCCCCAGCAGGTACTGGGAGGTTTCTTGACTTCCCACAGCACCTAGAGGAATTTGGCTCATAATTAGGAGCCAAATTTAGACTCTTCAACAGCAAGGGAGTATTGAAAGTGTGAGCTGCAAAGCCAGTGGGAATGCAAGGAAGAGTGAAAGTCCAAGGGACTCTTCACATTCACGCAACCTAATGAAGGATAGGAACGTGATATATAACCACAAATACATATGCTTTAAAAAGCATACCACAAATGCTTTATTTTAAGCCATAGTGAGCAGTCTAAATAAATAACCCTGAATCATGGAGCTGCAGCAATCCGCTCCTGTGTATGCCTAGCACTCTGGGGAGCACTGAAGATGTGCCTCCTTTTATTTTGCTTATGCCTCATGGTTAGAATGACAGGAAAGCTGCCAAACTGAGCAAAACCAGGATCCTGCATCAGACACTATCTCATTATCATACACACTCATGGTACCTCCGTTTCAGGTTAGTTTAAACACTGAGCAATTCAGTATCATGTAGATGTATCAGTATCAATGTAGATACCCAAGCAAGCAGGCCCATCTGTATGGTGCAGAGCAGCAAGCACAGATGATGGCTGTGGAGCCAGCTGTCCTGGGGTGGCCCTGTGTCTGGATTAAGTGGCTGGTGCAGATTTTCTGCTCCTAGATCTGCAGCTACTTGAAGCATAGTGGTAACTCTTCATCCTGCTGGACTGCAGTGGAAACATAATCTGAAGGAGCTGTTGTAAAAGAAGATGCTTACAGGTTCTGATTGTAATCGGATTGCTTTAATGGTGATTTTCCTGACTTACAGCAGTACTGTTCAGACTAGAGTCAGACTGCAGAGGTATATAAGGACACCTGCAGTATTTTAAGCAGCCCGAAACAACAGGATATTACTTTTGTTTAGGTTCCCAAGTGATTTGTGTTTTACAGTTACTATACTTGTTCCTTCATCTTGTATAGTATTGTGCAACACTCAGAAACAGACAATCAGAGACAGCATTTCCAATGGATTATTTAATGAAGAATGACTTAGATCACTCTATAAACTGTAAACAATTTGTATAAGCCCAGTACTGAATCAATCCCAGGACAAAACATTGCTCAACTGTTTTATAATTCACCTTGAGATTTTGTGAAATTGAGAGGAGGAAAAGAAACACAGTCCCAGGTATGAGAAATAGACAAAGAAACCCAGTGTGGGCAGGCTTTCCATGGAAAGATGCAAAAAGAATAGGAAAAGAAGGAAAGAAAAATGGCATAAGGTCAGGTTCTTGAGAAATTCCAGTTGCTGCTCATGAGGATTTATGAATATCTTGCCTGTGTCCAAAAGAGAAGCCAACAGCTGTCACAGTTAGCAGCAAACCTGAGAACCGAGTCTGCAAACCCTTATTTAGGTAAGTAAAGATCTCTTAGGGGCTAGGCAGTTTTCCTCAAAAAGGAGGACTGTGGCAGAGATAAAAATTTCCTCACAAAGGGCAAATGAAGACTCTCCAGGTGGAGGAACTCCTCCTTTATCAAACTTTTACCTGTACATGGACTTTTGTCCTCATACAAAAAGTATCTTCATTTTGAGGTACTGATGTCCCCACAAACACTATCAGCCCCCGGCATCTAGTGTTCCTGACAAATCAACCAGGATTTTTAGCAGAATAGGCCTGAGTTCCTTTCCCTTAATCCCAAACCCACCCGCTTCTGCCCCTTCAACTCCTTTTCCATATCTTACACCAAGTAGAGTTTTCTAAGCCTCAGAAATAATTCATTTTAGGTGGTGTATGTTTTCAGTGATTCAGTCTCCAATGCCTACCCAAACTATGATTCAGGAATCTGGGACTGGCTTCAGTAGGACCTGCATCTGAATTAAGTGCCCAGAACTGGGAAAAAAAGAAACACACATAATCTAAGGGCAATTCTGAACTGCTATTCTTCTATAAACAAAAGAAGCAAGAAGTGTAATTGAAAAGGTAAGCAGGAGGGCAATTTGTAGAATATTACAAAGACCAAGGGCCTGATTATCCATTGCCTGCATTTTGTACAACATTAAATCACTGGTGTGATAAAATGCTTCCAGCAAGCTATGCCTGATTGTAAGGAACTAATCAAGGTCACATAGAATCAGAGCCTGGATACCTGGGTGACTGTTCATTACAGTTAAAATAACACTCAGGCTGTAACAGATGCAACAGTAAGCCCAGACTGTGGTTGTACAGCATACAGCACAGGGTGGCCAGCTGGTACTACTGCAAGAGAACAAAATATCTAAAACAGATTTTTCTTTTTCTCCTATGTAAGTGATAGAACTCCTAAAGACCAGAGAAAGGTGAAAAAAAAAAAAAAAGAAAATAAATTAATGCTAATTCATACATCTAAAAAATATGTACCAGGATTTGTAATTCCAGGGCTTATGCCTTATGAACAGGTCCTGATAGTGGAAATGTGTTCCTTCCTCTATGTTGCCTGGCAGGAGCCAGGAAGCAATCCCACTTACAGTACGATGTTGAGAAAAAGTGTCAGTAGGGTGCAAAGCTCACAGTGCACTGGACCCCCACTGCTTCACTGAATGGATGGTGAACAGCAAGGTGGGTGCAGGGCCACTGGCAGCAGAGGTCAGAAGTGGCACAGCATGCTGCCTCCGGCAGCCCCATGGCAAAGCGTTTTTCCTCTTAGCAACTGCAACCAGAGTTGAGCCCCCTTAAGGACACTGCTTCTTTATAAATTCAGATTTACATGAGAGCTGGAATGGAATCTGCTCTGCTTGCTCCAGAGTAAATGTCAATCTCTCACTTTGACTGCAGTACATCTAGTTTATGTGCTGCATTAAAGAAAGCATTTAGGGACTTACTAACAAGACCTATAATGCCTGGGGTTTAGGCAACCAGTTACCACAGTGACCAGGAAAAGGGCAAATTTGCCTGCTTCCAACGGCAAATGCTCAGCACTGTAATCCAGACCTCAGCTAACCAATCCAAGCTAGCCCTTACCATGCAGACCCAGTGCCCAGAACACTCTTTGCAGGGAGAAGCTGCATCTCTTGTTTGACATGTGACCAATGAAGGAAGGAAGAAGGGTGGCTGACAGAGAGCCATTTTGCCACAGCTGAGTGGTTACAGCATGTGAAACTGAGTTTCAACCTTCTGAGGGTGATGGAGAGATCAAAGTGCCTAACCTCTTTGCAAGCTTGTCCTAACCTTAATGCCACAGGGATGGAGCTATCTTTGCTCCTCCTTGAAGCTGGGCCATTTGCTCAGCTGAGCTTCAGGATCCTTCCAGCTCACCCACAGCTGGGGCTGAGAAGAGAGAAGCTCACTTTTTCTGGTACTGGCAACACCAGGAAGAAGCACAGTGTGCTTTGAGGCATACAGAGAAATATGTCTGATGCTAGTTTGGGCAAGAGGCAGTACCACTGACTGGAAGAGCCTAGGACAGTGACAGCAGCCAGGATTACACCTCTTAGCAAAGAGAGAAGCAGTAGCAGCCCAGCCAGGCCTGGGTTCACACCCTGAGCTGGGCTGACTCCCAGCATCTAATTTTGTCTAATCCCTAAATGCTACCAAAACATCTTTTCTTCTCATGACATGATTGTAGAAAATCTGAAATAAATGTTGTCTTTTTAAGTTCTGCTTGGTACAGGAAAAGCGATTACAACAAAGCAAGAGCGTTCTGATTTCTTGGGGAACCGCTTCCTTGACGCCTGAGGGTTTTGCATTCCCAGGTTCCCCGGTGCGCCGGAAAGCCCCAGAGGCGGGAGAGAGGGCAGAGGTGCCAGTTTAAGGGTCAAGAAGCGCCACGAGCAGGAGAGGAGCGGCTGGACAGCGGAGCTGTCGGGGTGCGCGCTGCCCGGCGCTCCCTGCCTCCTTCCCCCCGAGCCGGTGTCAGGTACTGCGAGGAGGGGTAGGGGCCCTGGGAGGAGATGGCTGGAGGCTTTCCAGCCCCAGCTCACGCAATGCAAACTCCGCACGCAACGGGGAGGCGACAGGCGGAGGAGGGGAAGCTCTCCGGCTTCCTCAGCCCCCAAGATGCAGGCGAGACGCTGCCTCCCGACAGAGAGGGCTGCGAGCCCGCCCGCCGACCCGCTCCCCGCCCGGCACCTCCTCTGCTCAAACTTTTGGCCCCGGCCATAAAAACATCCGCGGCTCAGCCGCTCCCCTTGACGAGGACCCAAAGGCAGGGGGCAAATAGCTGCGACCCCTCAAGCCAGGGGAAGGGCCAGGCAGCAGCGATTTGCCGTGGGTCTAACAGCCTCCCGCACCGCGCCGCGCACCGCGGATCCCGGCGGGTTGCCGCGGGTTGTGGTGCCAAGCGCCCAGACACGACGGCTCTGGCTGGGGGCAACGGGCTGAGCTCTCCGCGCCCTCTGAACCGCTAGCCTTCACTCCCTGCAGCGAGGTTTCGCTGGCCGCCCCGGCCCCGCAGCCCACTGGCCCCCAGTCCGCGGGGCTGCTCCAGGCAGGTGCCTGCCGGCGGTGAGAACTTCCAAGGGTTAAAAGTGCTGGGAAGGTGATAATAACTCTGCGCTGGGATCGGGTGCAACTGGCATTTGCTTGCACATGACCTGCCAAGCTGCGGGTGACAGGACCCGGGGCTCCTAATGAATTTCCCAGAAGCTGGGATCTGAACGTTGCCATCGCCGCTCTCCTCCCGGGGCTGCCTGTTAGAGCTGCCGCTGGCTGCCCGGTTCCTCTCCATCCTCCCCGAGGTCGCTTATGGAAGGAGCGTGCAACAGGTCAGTTCTGCTACGGGCGGCCAAGGTGACCCTGTATTTCACCCCTTTCTCCCCTCGCTGCTTCAGAACGGCTGGAACACACGGTAGGAGCGGGCGGTCCCCGGGTACGGGTATGGGAAGGGGACCAGTCGGGTCTGCCGCGCCGTGAGCTCAGGCATCCTCCGCAGCCCAGGACCGCCGGCCGCCAGCCTGCGCTGCCGCGACTGGCACAAAGGTGCAGGGAAGAGGGAAGGGCTCGGTGCAGAGCGGGCTCGCTGGCCACGTACGGAGGTTTTCCCTCCGGAGCAGTGAGGAAGCTCCGGCAGCGGCGCGGGGAGCCCATTTCTCGCAGCGGATCTTTCCGCGGGAGGCGGGATGCGCAGTGCCGGGTTGAAGCTGCCTCCAGCGAGCGGCAGTTGCCGGCATCTGCACGTCAGGCAAAGCATCTCTGTGCCTCCCCTTGTGCCCCTCTCAGCTGTCACGTTCTGGATCCCCTGCCACAGACTACCTACCGGGAGGGGGGCAGGAGATAAAAGCACCGGCCAGGCCTCCAAATACGCTTTGGATCCCTTACTGACCGTTTGCCACTTGATTATCGATTACGCGTTGTTTTTTTGCACAGGATCCGGGCAGGCTTTAGGCGCACTCCGAGCCGGCCGCCAGCGCTGCCTGCTCGCCCCTGCCTGCGGGCGATGGGGATCTGGCCGCAAGGCCGCTGCCCGCTGACCTTTCCCCTTCCCTTTCCCTTGCAGCATGGCCCTCGAGAAACTCGGGGAAGCCCTGGGAGGCATCCCCCCCTTGCAAAGCTCCCTGCTGCTCCTCCTGTGCCTGCTCACCGCTATCCACCTGGGCAAGTTCCTCCTGCAGCAGCACCGGAGGCAGGGCCAGCGCCAGGCGCCGCCGGGTCCCTTCCCCTGGCCCCTGATTGGCAACGCGGCGCAGCTGGGCAGCGCCCCGCACCTCTCCTTCGCCCGCCTGGCCAGCACCTACGGCGCCGTGTTTCAGCTGCGCCTGGGGCGCTGGCCTGTGGTGGTGCTGAACGGGGAGAGCGCCATCCGTCAGGCGCTCGTCCGCCAGGCGGCCGCGTTCGCGGGGCGGCCGCCGTTCCCGTCGTTCCGGCTGGTGTCGGGCGGGCACAGCCTGGCCTTTGGCGGCTACTCGGAGCTGTGGAAGCTGCACCGCCGGGCGGCGCACGCCACGGTGCGCGCTTTCTCCACCGGCAGCCCCGGCACCCGCCGCCTGCTGGAGCGCCACCTGCTGGGCGAGGCGCGGGCGCTGGTGGCGCTGCTGGTGCGCGGCAGCGCCGGCGGCGCCTTCTTCGACCCGTCGCGGGTCCTGGTGGTGGCTGTGGCCAACGTGATGAGCGCGCTCTGCTTCGGCCGCCGCTACAGCCACGGGGACGGCGAGTTCCTGCGCCTCGTGGGGCGCAACGAGCAGTTCGGCCGGGCGGTGGGCGCCGGCAGCCTGGTGGACGCGCTGCCCTGGCTCCAAAGCTTTCCCAGCCCCGTGCGCGCCGCGTACCGCGCCTTCCGCGACCTCAACCGCGAGTTCTACGGCTTCGTGCGCGGCAAGTTCCTGCAGCACCAGCGCAGCCTGCGCCCTGGGGCCGCCCCCCGCGACATGATGGACGCCTTCATCCGCCTGCAGCGGGAACAGCCGCTGCTGCAGCTCGAGCACGTGCCTGCCACCGTCACCGATATCTTCGGCGCCAGCCAGGACACCCTCTCCACCGCCCTGCAGTGGCTCATCATCTTCCTCATCAGGTAGGTGCCGGCGGGGAGAGCCCGCAGAACACCATCTGTCCGGGGAGGAGGGACACGGGGAGAGCTGCAGCCTTGGGGCATTCCGCCCCTGTTTAAATGGCGCTGCGCGGGCAAAGCCGCCTCGACGGTAAAAGCCGTTGGCGGAGCGCTTCAGCCGCTCGGTTCTCAGAGAGTTGGGGAAGGACCCGCCGCCCTTCGCAGCATTGAGGCGAGTGTTGCCGGAGCTCCGCTGCCGCCGCCGGCGCACTCACTCGGAGGCGCTGGGGAAGCAGCTAGGAAAAAAACAAACGAGAAGAAAAGCTAAAAAAACCCACAAACCAACCCCTAGTTTGGCCGTAGGGTAATAGTGCATAAAGGGAGCCTGGCAAAAAGGCAGCCGAGTAAAGCCTGAAAGCAGCAGATTTTACCAGGGCCAGATCAAAGAGATCATAGGAACAGGATAACCGCTTAAGAAACATAAAGAGTTGGCGCACCAGTTTACAAACCTGTTGTTACATTAATTTGCCAGCAGCTTGTGCCTTGTGTGACTCGGGGGGAGGCCGAGCCCAGACTTTCTGCGCACTGCCCTGCACCAGCTGTTTGCCGAGGGGGGGAGCTTAGCCGGGGGCATAGTTTAGCAGAAAAAGCCGTTAACACTGATCGCCTTCCCTCACCCGGCTTTTTCCTTCATCATCTGCATAGTTTATAGAGTTGTGCAAACCCTATCTGCCCAGCTGGAAGCCAGGCAAATATTTCACACTTGGAGCTAAGGGTACAATGCTTGGAGTTCACATGAACTGTTGGGTATCTCCTTGTTTCTTACATTTGCCCAGCATTCCATATGAACTTCTGCTGCAGGAGGAAAAGGCAAGGACACAAAAGCCAAACTTGGGTAGTTTAAGCAAACAGAGGCTCCTTGGAGGAACACCTGCTTTTAGACAAGCAAAAGAAAATCACCAAAATGTGTTAATGTCTCGATCTTGTCTGGTTACTGTGTGGTCTTCCAAACTATCCAGAATTCAAGTCGGTCATCTTGAAATAGGTTATAAAGAAAACATATTTTGATATCAGTTAGAAAAAGTGTACATAAACTTAAGTGTGGGGTGGTCATAAAGCTATTTTGACAATTATTAGCAGGGGCCTTTTCAGTTTAAAAACCTGTAGGCAGGTTTTAAAACTGAAACATACCTATGCAGTATGTCTAATGATAACAAACTGTGCTGACTTTCTGAAGTCATGTACAGAGCTGGAAGACCCAATTTCTAGTTCCCACAGAAAGCCCAGAATTTACAAGAGACAAGTAATTTCAGGTTTAGAATGAATTTTCAAAATTGGATCAGGATTTTCAATTTTAGCACATTTTAAGTTTAATTTTTTATGTTGAGAATCGGTTCCCTGTGGTATTCAAGTGAAAACAGAGCAAACCTAAAACGCCACCATTGCGTGGAAAGTTTGGGTTTTTCCTCTCATAACGTTTTCCATCAGGGTCTACACATTGCTGCAAAATATATTCAAGCTTTGCTCAAACTGCATGATTTCGGTTAGGGGTGAGGTGTCAGTGAAAACATACTGACAGCAAAGATTGTTTTTAAGAAAATCTTTTGGAAGTGTTATGTCTGTACACACATCTTACTTGAAATGGCAGGTATCCGAATGTGCAGGCTAAAATGCAAGAAGAAGTGGATAGGATTGTTGGAAGAGACCGTCTGCCATGTGCTGAGGATCAGCCTCGCTTGCCCTACATCACAGCTTTCTTGTACGAATCCATGCGCTTCAGCAGCTTCGTGCCTGTCACCATCCCACATGCCACCACAACCAATACCTTCATAATGGGCTACCTCATTCCCAAGGACACAGTAATTTTTATTAATCAGTGGTCAGTGAATCACGATCCAGCAAAATGGTCCAACCCAGAGGATTTTGATCCAACAAGATTCTTGGATGAGAATGGATTCATCAATAAAGACCTTACTAGTAGCGTGATGATTTTCTCACTGGGAAAACGTCGATGCATTGGAGAGGAGTTATCCAAGGTGCAGCTCTTTCTCTTTACCTCCATATTGGTGCATCAGTGCAATTTTATTGCTAATCCAAACGAGGACCCTAAAATGGACTTTACCTATGGGTTGACCATTAAACCTAAGCCATTTACCTTGAATGTTACGCTTAGAGATACTATGGATTTGCTTGATCAGGCTGTCCAAAGACTGCAAGCAGAGAAAGCAGCCAGTGAAAATCAGCTGTCAGCAAATGCCTAAGCAACAAACCCTGCGTCTAAAGATAATCCTCTCTCTTTTTAGACTTAGTAAGTTACAGTTTGTTCTGGTGAGCTTTTTGGAAAACAGCGGATATTACAAGTTGCAAGAGCAAGAAGGAAAACTGCACAAGGTGTAACTCAGTCCTCTCTTAAATTCTAAAAGGAAAGCCATGAGAACAGTCTGATATAGTACATAATGAAACATATGCAATTTGAAAGTAAGCCTTTATTTTTTTCTAGCTTGTTCACAGAAGTTGCCATTGTAAAGCGCTTTTTATCTACTGACTGGTTGGAGCATCTCCAGGAACTGTTTGTACAGTCCTTTCCCCGTCTCCATGTACTGTGCCTTAACTCTAAGTTCACCTTTGATGACTCCACATCCCAAAGTGAAATCTCTTATTTTAAATAAAGTAGCAATAATAACTATATAAAGGGTTGCTGAGAACACTGCAGCCTGCCTCTGAGTTCACTTGTTGTGACTGCTTGGATGTACATTAGTGCCTTGATAATACATGTTCAAATGATTTTCAATAAAATGACAATGTAGTCTTGCCTTCAGCATTCCAAAGTGTTTACATAAATGGCTAAGAAAGAAGACTAAGAAAGAAGCACGTCTGAAAATAAAATTTGTATTTTAATAATTTAGTAACTCATCATTAAGTTTTGAAAGATCAAATTTGATGTCACCAAATGGCAAGAGTGATACAAACCAATTGCTCTCTGTTCATTAACCTATCTGTTAACAATGTAGATATTTGAATTAAAAAGCCTTATAAAGGTATAGCTGAAGTTTATATTTATCTAGTAAAGAGTTAATATCCCTGCTGCTGTGCACATAGGTAAGTCAAGTCAAATCCGCATTGACCAAGGCTTTTAGAAAGGAGAATTTGTGTTTTTTTGTATTAAAACTCTGATGCCACAAGCCTCAAGTAAAGTGTACAGCAAATACACCCCTGCTCACTTGTCATTCTCTTAGGTTGAGGAAAATGGTATATCCAAAAATTAACGATGTAGTTTTAGTACAAATTGCTTGAAACAGAATCACAGAAAGAAAGCTAATATTATATGTCCTAATTATTGTACCCATTAACTGGAAAAAAAATAAATATCAAAAATATCCCAAATGACCCCAAACTATTATTTTAAACTAAAACACACATATGAAATTTTATGGCTTTGAGTCTTTGGCTAATGTTTGTGTGCACAAAACTGCATGTATTTCTCTAAAATGCAAACAACCTTATGTAAATGATTTTGAAAGTGTTGGGCGCTTCTTTGGAGCTGCAGATCACCTTCAGTTACATATGAAATCCATCAGAAATGAAAGTATCTCACACGACTTGCTGTGTTCAGCTTAGTACTAAATAAAGTATTAGTAGAGCTAGAAATATAAGGGTGCAGTGCTAGACAGCAGAGTAGCTCTGCTGAGACCCTAAAGCAAGTAAAGATTTCCACCAGGTCTTCCAGAAGATGGGCAGTCTTAGTCATGTCGCAGCAGTGGTGGAACTCTCCCTGACTTTGGGAAGAGCTGTGTTAGCAACAGAATCCTTCTGAAGCAGAAGCTTCACTAATCAAGCCTAAAAAGTACACCATAACCCCACACAGTAGTAATGTACCTGTTTAGAGTCTGTTTAGACTTCACGTGGCACACAGAAAAAGCTTTCTGTTACATACACATAGCGTAACCTCAGGTGTTTTTCCGAATTATGTTCAAGTGTGATAGCCCAGAACTTAGCCTATACCTGTGAAAAGCTTTATAAGATATTCAGCATTTTCATATGGAGATCTGCATTAGATCAAATGCTACCACAACAATTTTTCTTGTACCTTTGTAAGTATTATTAAAAAAAGAAAAAAGTAACATACAAGTGATTATTCTAACAAAAGAATCATTATTCATATTTTAATAAAAGCAGTTTTGCAATTTTGTACTCTTCAAAAGCTTTATGCATTGGCTACTAATGCAACATCCGTTCACAGTGCTTATGTCTGGCAGGGTCACACACTATCTAGCTGTTGGTCAAATAATGCCTCATTTAATCTGTGAAGTTACTCAAATGTAGTAGCGCTCATTTAGAATGTATGCAGTTGCTCAGCAAGCTAACTTTTATGGTCATTTTGAAATGTATCATGTTGCCAAAATACTAAATAAAATTATTCTTACACTGCCTTTGCTTAGTTTATTTATGGTCTTTTAATGTCAAGATAAAATTATTGTGTCTGATTTGGAAACTACTATTAGTTATTCATATACTTTCCACCTTCTATTTCTAGATTTTAAGGTTTCTTCTCTGCACTGCCTTTACAGATTCTCAGATCTGCCTGCTTATTCCTACCTTGCCATCCGTGTTCAGCTTGCTTATGCTCCTTCCAAAGACTATTCCCTGCCGCTCATCTCAGCATTGATCTGAATTCTCTCATGTCTTCTGCTTTCTTCTAAGACTTATTAATCTCTCCCCAGCCAACACAATCTCCTGTGCTATGTTCTTCCTTCTGGCATTTCAGTTTATCTCCACCTCCCCTTATTTCAACCCCACCGACTCAATTTCCTTCCTCTTTCTCCCCTCCTGTAACTAATGTTGTTGGCATCCATATACTCCTGATAATTTTCAGAATCAGGCAAGGTCATGTTTAACAGCAAGTCATGCACATCTCATGAGATCTTGTGTTTGCATTGTCACTGCCTCCCTCACCATCCTGTGACTGGAGGTCACCACAGCAATGCTAGACAGATGGATGTTGCCCTTTCTCAGTGAAATAAAGCACAAAGAAGTTAAGCAGCTGTATTCAAGACAAGACTGTTACTTTAAAAATCATCATGCTCATGTTGTAGTGATTTCAATGGGTCAGAAAAGCCAAATGTCATCTCATGCTTGTTTTCTCCGTGTATGTGCACACTCACACATACTTAGTCCATCTCCCCGAATTTTAGTACCATCTTTCATTCAAGTTAAGGGATTAAAAAACCAAACAAACCACCAAACCCACAGAAAAAACCCCAACCAAAAACAAACCCACAAAACAGGAAGCACAAGGCTAGGACAAGCATATGTTTCTTGGAAAACTAGTAGCTGTCAGATCACTGTACTACATAACTAGGAGGGGAAGCAAGGAGGCTGAGATAGCAGAGTTGATACGGCATACATTTATACTGTTCAAGTGTACCATTACATTCCTTGTGAACTAAGAGTTAAGCTTGCTGTCTTCAGCAGGAGTCAGTTCAGAGCAGCTGAAATAAATAGCAATAATATAACAATAAGAACAAGACTCATCAGAACTTGAGAAAAAAACACTGCTCGAAAGAGGAGAGGTGGGTCCATCCAGGACCTGTGCAACAGCTGCCAGTACCAGCATAGTCATGGCACGAACGCAGCTAAATGCAAATTCACAACAATGAATTCCAACTAGTTTTGCATCAGACCCAGTATGTTTTTGTGAGTGTCAGGGACTGATGCATAGGTCTGCCTGTAGGAGACTGGTTCAGATTACCTAGGCAGAGCTATCAGAGACTAAGCAACTGGGAGCTTACATTAATTCAACTTGGGATAAGGCTGAAGGTAGATCTCGCTTTTTCATTGATGAAGAAAAGGGCTGGATTATGAATGGTGTCAGTATTTTGGTATACAATGTAACATAGATACAATGATTCAAGTTTCAGCAACTTCTTCACTGTTTACCACCCTGCATTATTGCAGCTGAGTTTTTCCAAGTACCAGTCATTCGTACTCAGACCAGGACTACTCATTTAATTGTAAGGTGAAAAGAAGCTCAGCCTTAAGCACAAACAGCCTGAGGCATTTAAGATGGCACACCTTTGAGGCTTTTTGCCAACCATTCAGACAGCTCCACTCACCAAAAAATTCATTGTTTTGTTAGCGTTGCCGTGACCTTCAATAGTCAGAGCAGATCTTGCACCAGCCTGAAAGCACAAAGCTAGAACTAAGCAAATCAAACAAGAGTCTCAATTCCCTACACTATCTGTGCTGGATGCCTGGCACACTGATCCATCAGTATGGGTATCTCAGAACATATATAGGATGCCAAGGCATTTCAGCTGCATGAGTGCAGAGGGGAGAGAATGGAGTGAATGCCAGGGGTGTGACTTTACATTGCTCAGGATTAGGGTGGTAAGAATCCAAACAGCATTAAAGACGTTCACTCACATCAGGAGGGAATATCAGACTGAGAGCACCTGAACCAAACCTTACCTTCACACCAGGATGAACACAGAATGAGTGATTATTTTCCAAAAAACTTTGGACAAGCAAACTGTGTCCAAATAGTAACTCCTCAGTGCCTGTTAAACTCAAGTAATAGAACTGAGACATAGCAAACATGGAAAGGAGACCCTAGGAACTAAATATGAGGAATCAGGCTGCACCATACAGGCTGCAGGACTTGAAAACACAACCTTGTCTACAACAGAAAGCAATGGAGAGTTTGTCATCCTCCCTCACCTCAGCATCCCCAGTGCCAAGAACAATCGGGAGGAACAGTCAGTCTGGCCACAACAGTCTAAACACCTTTTGGGGAAATTTTACTCTTGACATTGGGTAGTGGAAGGAGTGGGCACTACACCAAACACTATGGGTCTAGAGGACCCAGAGCAGGTCAGTGTCATTTATTTGGGAGAGCCCAGAGCAGGTCAGTGTCATTTATTTGGGAGAGCTTACCAGGAATAGGTTTGTATCAGTTTGCTGTATAGTTATGTCTTCGCTTGTATCTAGGCTTATTCAATGTCCCCTAGGGAAAGAATGATACATATATTGCAGGATACTCCAGAACTGCTTTTATCCTCTGATATTATTGTTATATTTTCAGTGATGTCGGTATATTTTCATCCTTCCACAATCTCCCTTCTCTCAACTTGAGCTCTGGAAAGAGCATAACAGTTACCATGTAGAGACAGGCTTCTAATCCTCTCATGGTAACAAATGGGATTTCACGTAATCATGTTTCCTGTGCTAAGAAAACCAGGACATTCTCCACTTATTTAGACTACTCATCACAACTGAGGTGGAGAGGTGGTGTGAGACACCCTTGTTCCCAGTATAAAAGCAAGATTTAAGGGAAATTTTGACTTCACAAAGCAAGTATGGTTTGCAATCACCTGCAGAATAGCACAAAATGATATTCCATGCTTTTTTTATGCTTTGTATTCTGTGAAAAACTTCCAAGCTGCAGTTTGAAAATTTAATTCTACTGTATATCTTATTTTTAATCATACTTTTTCACGCTGCAGAGAAAAATAATAAATTGTGAAGCTATAAATTTTTTGTGGTTCAAGAAAATTAAATGACTGCATTCAAGTTAAAAGAAGTGCCACCAGAAATTAAACTCAGACTTCACTGTAATTACGCTAATGAAAAATGGGATTCCTAAATGAACCTCTGTCTCATTATAACAAAACTCCTTTTCCTTACCTTCATTTATATATATAGCTGCTGGGACATGGTGTCATGCTGCAACTTGTTCCAAGACTTAACTATGTTCATCTTTCTGTTTCTGGCAGAAGTGAGGAAGACCTGTACCTACACTCCAGAACAATATGCCTGCAGGGAAGCTTTCTGGGCAACTCTTCCAGGTGGCACAGGAGTAAAAGGGAAGTGTTTTCCACCAGCTTTTTCCAGATGAGCATTCTTTCTCATGAGTGCCTAATATCATGCCCAACATCGTGCCCAGCCTGCATCTTCCAAGTATACGACAAGCACTTGTGCTAGAGTGGGCTGAGGGCAGATCAGTCAATGGGTTTCAGTCAGAACCAACACAGAAAATATTTAATAAAATTAAACAAGGATGAATTCCCCTACAGGAGGGGAGTTAAAAAAAATCCTATTTAGATGAATATTTAAATTAAGAAGGTTCCCCAGAGAATTATAAGGCAGATCCCCCAGTGACACTATGCTTAAACTGAAACCTTGTATGAAAAAATCCTACTCCTGGCATTGAGACTGAGATACTTA